TGGAATGAACAGAAACTATTTTGGATTAATACTCTACTGGAAACATCAAGGGCTTCATTTTATCACTTTGCCTTCATATTCTACCACATACCGTCTAAAAATAAATGAAAGCTCCATGAAAGGAGGCAGCGAGTCCTGTCTGTTTTGTTCACTGCTGTATCTCTAGTGCCTAGAACAGCGCCTGGCCTGTGCTAAGTGCTTCTTGGCGATTTGCTGAATTAATGTATGCCACTGAAAGATTTTTATATACAAGTATCTGAAATCTAGTTCTTCGAATTGTCCCTGTAGCTCTCCTGCTCCCACAGGGTATTGAGAGCCAGGGTTGGCCTGCTAGATCTCCTATTGTTTCTCCAGATGGCTCCACTTCCAAAGTCATAACATCCACTCCTCCTTTGAGGATGATGAGGGTCATGTACAATACCTTCTATCCTTTCTCACTGTCTACCATCTTTCCAATCTCCTGCTCATTCTCCAATATGAAGAAATCCAGCTCCTGACTCAGTCTTCTTGCCCACACCTATCTCCTATCACCACACTGGGGAATGAAGACGACCCACCCACTTGCTAGTCTCATTGCTCATCCCCTCTGACTTCAATGACAACCATCTCCACTCCCAGGTTCTACTCCACGACTGCACCCTAGTATTGATAGCATGAATAATGGTGCTAATAATCACTAATACCTGAGGGCTTATTATATGCCACACTCTTCTCAGTGCCACACACACCTTATCTCATTTAATCTTCTCCAAAAGCCCGTGAAGACACTTGGGTACAGAGGTTTTAAATAAATTTTTAAAGGTCACTCAGCTCAGAAGTGGTGGAATTTTAATTTGAACCCAGTCAGCCTGTACTCTTAACCATCCCTGAGATGAAAAGAATCAGGATTGAAACCCCAGCCCTGCCACTTGTCACACTTTTTGACCTCAAGCAAAATAAAAACCTCTCGAGCCTCAGTTTTCTAATTCATAAAATAGTGGCAATAATAAAGTATACATTAAGAGCTTAGCACAGTGTCTGACATACCACAAATGTGCATTCCATCCATTCCACCAGCAAATGCTTGAGGCCCTGTGCAGCTCCAACCCTGCGCCAGGTGCTGAAGATATAGCAGTGAATAAGACAGGCAAGTTCCTGCCTTTCAGTATCTGTACAGCCCTTGGTGGGTGCTCAATAAGTACTTGAACCAAACCCTCAGGGAGGTCAATCTACTCTCAAAGAGGTCTCCAGCCTCCACTCTGCCTCTTCAATCAACCAGTTATTCTGCTACAAAGTATTCTAAGGAGGGCCCTTTCCTGATTAAAATCCTTCAGTGGATTCCTCATTGCCTCAGAGATAAAATCCTTAATTTCTTAATTATGTAAATTTAACACAATAGGCGAGAATACCAAAAGGCAAGTGACTCAGTTTTTTTCCCCCTTTTTTTGTAATGAAAGCTTTTCTTCATATGAAACCTATTTGGAAGCTTGACTTGTAAACCAGATCGGTGTAGGCCAATTGTGGTTAAGAGCACAAGAACTGGAATCACCAGTTTGGCATCCTGACCCCTCCCCACTCCCATCACGCACAGCTGCAACACCTAAGCCAATACTAGGGTTCTGTGAGAGTTTGAAAAGCTAATTGTAGGACACAGCTGATTATGGTTATGAAATCAATTGCTTCACAATTTAACCAACTCCCTGGTCCCCTCGATAATCTGGCAGTTACCTACCTGATCATTCGATATCCATTGTCCCCCTTCTGCATCCCCTTCTGCTTTGTTCATGGCAGCATGCTCAGCCCCAGGTGATGGTTCACGATTGGCTTAAGCCAACTGTGACCATCCTGTTGCCTACTTTTATAGCTTTCCTTCTACGCATGGGTAGCCATGCCACCTGGTTCTGATGACCTTAAGGCGGAGTCAACTGTGAGAGCTTCCGAGTAAGTTTTTGTTTTCCTAATAAAAGAACTAACACTATGCGCTGCTCTTTCCCCTTTCTTCCTGTTTTAGACATGAATACGATGTCTAGAGTTTCAAGTCATTTTGCAACTACGAGGCCATCAGCCAACACTAAGACTAGTGAAGCAGAGGGGCAGAAGAGAAAGCCTGGCCTCTGAAACACAAAGACACATAGGTAAAAACTGCCTCACTTTAAAGAATCCTAATGTATTTCCACTGTAAAGTCTGAAAAAGTAAAATGCAACGTTTTGAATTAAAGATTCAGGGAAGAGATATAAGTGATGCCCTACAAAAAGCAGCAGCACACTTAGAATGAGATGTTGGGGAAAATACTTTCAGTGCTCCTGAGACTGTCTTCAGGTGTTGGGTCCACAAGTGCTTTCTGGCCCCTTGCCACACACATTCCTCTGTCCTGCAACCTTACAGGACAGCCTTTGTACACAATCTCTGACACCTCCTGCTTTCCCTTGAGATTTCTATCTTCTTTTGCCTGCTCTTTGAAAATATGCCAAATTAATAATCTTTTACATGAAAAGTCAGACGGTTTTTGATTTGGGTTAACAATAACTTTTCATAAGTTCATGACTAAAATAAAAATAAAACACAAGAAGTAAGGCCGGGTGCGGTGGTTCACGCCTGTAATCCTAGCTCTCTGGAAGGCCGAGGTGGGCGGATTGTTTGAGCTCAGGAGTTCGAAACCAGCCTGAGCAAGAGCGAGACCCCCGTCTCTACTAAAAATAGAAAGAAATTAA